TTTTATTTTATTTTTATGATTTGTTCAAAATTGCGAGATTATCATGAACAACTCTTTTATGGAATATTTTTTCGTTTTTTTTTTTTGTTTCATTTTTTTACCCTACCGTTTGCAGCCTATAATGACACAGAAATGTCGCGCACTACCTTTGCTGGGCTGAAATAGTGGAATGGAATCTTCGTGCATCCGCCCCGGGAACAAGCAAAAAAAAAATAAAGTGTGTATATATGCGTATACACAGGTGTGTATTTTGTACGCGCCTAACATAAGTAGAGCGGTGTGATTTATTACCATCTGGGCGTGCTAATACACACCGCCACATTGTTTTTATTATTATTTTTTTTTTGCTTCGCCGTGTGCTGCCCCCAATGAGTTCCCTTTTCGCTATGTTCGTCTCCTTGTACAACATCCTCCTACGCAAAAGTAAAATTGTGGTGGGTGAAACACTCAAGGAGTATAAAAACAAAAGGTGCACCAATGATAATCAGTACTTCTATATACACATAAGTCTGCATGAGTGATGTGGCACCGGGGGAATATGCGCGCCAGTCAGTCGGGCCGGACCAACCGCAGTTCTCCAAAAGGGCGGCGGGGGGGCTGCAGCACACAGGGTGCACAAAAATGGCGGGCAAAAATGGGTAACAAAAAATAGCTGCGTAAAAATGTGCACCAAAATAGCTACGCAAAAATGCCTGCACGAAAATAACTGTGCAAAAATTCCCCCACCAAAATAAATTCACCAAACCATCGCGCATCATGATTTAACGAAAATGCGCGCGTGCTGTCCCAGCGCCTGTTCCTAATAAGTCCCCCCCCGCGCAGCCCTTTGCTCGGCATCGCGGCGATAGCGTCAATAGCGTCCTAGCAGCCATAGCAGCAATAGGAGCCTCTTTCCGCTTGGAAAAAAAGGCACATATGCGCGACGCGAAGAACAGAACGGGGGAGGGAACGCCGAGGGCACGATGAAAGATGGAGTAGCGCCTGCGCGCGAAGCAGCGCCAGTATACCCAAACGAACACTCAGCAGCCTCCTCGCCCGAAGACGCAGCCACATGCCCAAACGGACAACTCAATCGCAGCACAGGCCTCAAAAGTGCACACAAAAAAAAAAGCGATCATGTATTCAAAAATTTTATCTACCAAAATATTTTCGACAGGGATCGTTTTACAAATATATTTAAAAAAAAAATTGCCCATAGCACTCAGGGGAAACGTAACGACGAGGATGATGGCAGCGGCAGAAATGAAGAAGACGCCTCTGTGGATCACCAATGTCCAAGTGATGAGGAAGAGTACATGCTCTTCTTAAGCTACATATACAATGACGTAACGTCCTTTATTGAGCTTAACAAAAATGAGCACTTAAAAAATTCCAACTACGCTGATCTTGAAGATCTGATTTTTGAAATTTGCGGGACCGTCTGCCGTGACGCCTTTCGCAATATAAAATCAATTTTTAAATCTCCCGAGGGGGAGGTGCCAAGGCAGGAGAGTGTGTGCAAGCATGAACGACATGAAGTAGGGGAGGATGGGGGTGAGAAGGGAAAAAGTCACCCCCCCAGTGAAAAAGACTCCTCCTTCTTCTTCATACCCCCCATGGAATACCTAGTTCCACGTATTCACAAGTTAACCTCAAAAAAGGATGATGCTAAAAACGCTTGCCATTTCTCCTCTGACATTAATGAATTTTTAAGAAACAACGACTTCGATAAACACCCCATTTATGCTTCACTCCAAGGGGGGGATAAACCGACACAGGATCGGAAGGATACTCATAAGGCAGTCCTCGACCACACTCACAAACATGTGCATAGCCACCGAAGTACTTCCATTAGTTTAGAGGCGGAACAGTCGCACGCACACACCGGGGGGGAGAAGCAACGCGCTTGCGATTGTAGCGGCGAAAGTGACCGTGGCAGTGACGGTGACAGTGACGGCCGTAGAAAGAATCTGCGCAGCGAGGATGACACAGACCCCCCAGACGTTCCCCCAACGCACAGTCAGGAGGAGGGGCTCCCTTTGGAAGACGCAACGGAAGAGATCACCCCCAATGAGAAGAAAAATGACGAAGAGGGGCTCCAACATATACATACCCATGCACCACCAGTAGAGCATGCACAGGTGGGTACCAATGTTGAGGTCAGATCGAACAATGGCAAACATACAATCTGTATGGAGGTTCAAAACTCAAATGAAGATGAAGCCACTTTAGCTCATCAGCAGAGTCCTGATGAATTCACTCCTTCCCCTCTGAATGGTACGAGTCGTGTGCACTTGGACGGTGCGATATACTCCTCTTTTTCAGGGCCCAGTTATGCTAAGAATTCCCACGCGAATGGTAGGCTATCTAGTGGAGACGCACCAAGGAATTTCCCCCACGACGATTCTCAACATAATGAATTGAATAATGATGACGGTTCAGTGCAGGGGGAAATGACAGGTGATCCGTTTTGGGGGAAGGAAAAATTTACGAATGGTAGTTCGCAAGGGGCAGAGCAGGCACAGCAGGAACACAGGGGGGACATACATCATTATACCCAGTCTAACTGTTCTAAGAAGGAAAGCCACTCCAAACGAGAAGAAGAAAAATTCGAGGACTGCCTCGACGACTATGATAAGCCCGCGCGAGGAGCTAACGACAACCAGGACACGGACACTAACGGTGATGACTCGAAGGAGGACGCAGAGAGCGAAGAACATGATGCCCCTGATGAGATGGAAGGTGTTGCAAGTGAAGTGGGTTACGCTGAGGGGGTAAATACGCCAAGCGAAGAACACCACCCTAATAGCAATACCACCACCCACGCCGGTGAGCAAACAGGAAAAAATGTCACAGGAGAAGAGGGCATGCATCCGTGTGGAACAAACAATAGTGACCAATTGGAGGATGATAAAGAGGGCATCACAACGGAAGGGAAAACAATCAATATGGACCGACAGGCTGAACAACAGGCTGAAGAACGAAGTGCGCAACAGAGTGAAAAACAGGCTGAAGAACCCCCCCAAAGCATAATCCAAGTGGACCAAAAAGAATACCGTGAAAAGCAACAAAAGATGGTGAAAAATAAAACGCCTGCAAAACCTGAAATTAGGAGAGAATTTAAAAAAAATGAAAACCCCCATGATGACTACTACCACTTTAAGTACTTGAACAATTGTGAAAATTTTTCAAATCCTTACCAGTACACTAAGGTAGAGAAGAAGGCCAACATACAGGTGACGCCATCTCCCTTCCCACAGTTCTTGAGGGATATTCAAATTTACAATATCAGTCAGAAGAAAATACGCCTGAAGAAGTAGGTCTCCTTTTGCGCTCCCCAGGGTGGCGGTGGCATTATATATTTTGTGTGTATTCGCTGTGCGTAAAATCGTACACACATACACATATATGTACCCATGTTGTATTCTTTTTTTTTTTTTTGCGTAGAACGAATATAGCGCTGAGGAAGGACGACGTAGGATTACACATAATAACAACCCATGGGGAACGTGTGCCCGGAGCAAACATTCTCCCTATTGTGATCATTTAAACAAACTCCTGCCGCGTGATCCATGCGCACAAGTGAAGTTGCTGAACCCTAATTATACATGTTTCACTTTCCTCCCATTTGCACAGGCCGACGCAGCGATCCCAGAAAAGACGACCAACAAGAAAAAAAGGCAGAACAGAAAAGGGACAAATTGAGTGTTACAATTTATGGCTATTATGATGGCGGCAGCAGGACAGGGAAATGCTACTCATATGTGCTTCGCCCTGTCTGTGTGTGTTTTTTTTCCATAGCACTGCCTTAATTTTTTTTTTTGCTAATTTAGCGAGTTTTCCCCTTTCCGATTTGTTCCTCCTGTGAGGTTACCAATAACAAAATGATTTCCTTCCTTTGTCCCGTCCCCTTTGACTCCGCTGCGCTGTGGCTTGCACAACGTGTGAGTCCTTCTATATAGTTGTAAACCTTTTTGATTTTATTATATTTTATTATATTTTATTTTTTGGACTTTTTTTTTTTTTTTTTTTTTTTTTTTTCCGTTTTAAGTAAACTTTTTAATTTAGCCCTTCCTGTGTGGAGAGTTACGGGTAGGAAGTTACCCACGACGGGAGGTTCCCATGGGGACCATGCTGATTTTGCATCCCCACGAATATCACGATTGGCAACATTATTTTGGCTCTGCTGCAATGTGTTCAAGGTTGAGAAACGTAACCGTTGAGAGGAAAATCACCTGATGCGACCGATACGCTTACATATAGGTGACCACATAAACGACGGGTGCGCTGCATGACGAGGCAACGCGAAAAACTGAATGTGCAAAATACGCGTTTCTGCGGGGAAAAAAAAAGTATATATATATATACATATAAACCATTTTTAGGGATAAACTTTTCTGTGTGAATTTTTTTTTTTGGCCTTCCATCCAAACTTGCATCTCAGATTTTCAGCGAGTCGATCGAGGAATCTCCAAATGGGATTTCATCCTGTTTGTAAGGAGGAGAGTGCCCCCTTAGAATTGTAGGCCCGACAACTTCCTTTTTTTTTTTTTTTTTTGCCCCCTTTTCGCCGGAGCAGGTGTATACTCGTGTGCAGAATATAGCCTCTTCATAGCGGTAAGATAAATCCTACGTAGGGAATAAGCCAAGCCCCCCTCTTCCGACAACAGGCAGACACAAATTATAGTTACATGTACATTCTCACATAGCCCGCCTGCGGATGTTACTTAGGGAATTAGTTTGTGAAAAGACTCCACCACGCCACCCTCTAAGAATAAAATGCGAGTCATCATTCAGCGCGTTAAAAATGCAGCGCTGAGTGTAATAAAAGAAGGAAGCAACGAAACAGAAAAACAATTAGAACTCTTTAGCGAAATACAAAATGGCATAATCTGCTTCGTGGGAATACACAAAAACGACACCTGGAAGGATGCGGAATACATCATTCGGAAGTGTCTGAACCTACGCCTATGGTCAGATGGTAACAAAACCTGGGATAAGAGTGTAAAAGATTTAAATTATGAAGTTCTGTTTGTTTCTCAGTTTACCCTGTTTGCTAATACGAAAAAGGGAAGCAAGCCAGACTTCCACCTAGCCAAGGAACCTAAACAAGCCCTAGCTATGTACAATAAAATGGTTGAGCAATTTGCTAAGGATTACAATCATGAAAAAATAAAAACAGGGAAATTCGGATGTTATATGAACATCCAAGTGACAAATGATGGACCCGTTACAATTTTTGTTGACAGCCACGACGTCAAGTTGGATAATTCATGAAGGTAAAGGGAAAGGGCAGTTATAAACAGCTGCGTTGCGGTAGGCACAAATGGTGTACGTGGTGCACGCAGAAAAAGAAATTGTGGCCGCGCCAAACGCGTCATTGCGCCGCTCTCTTTTATTTTATTTGTTCCTCATATTTTTGTGTGACGAGATAAACATATACGGTGCGCTACTTCCCACGAGAGGGAATTTCCACTTCGCGCAAATCTCCGTGCGACCATTTATCGAAATTGCACAAAAAAAAAAAAAAAAAAACTTGGCAAACTGCACACGCATGACCATTTGACACACGTGTGGCAACCCCCCCCCCCCCGCAACAGAATGACCCTTCTGCACAAGAATCGAATTAACGCTCTCCTACCACAATGGAGTTACAAAACGAAGCAGGGCTGCTACAACTACATACAAAGGAAGGTCGTATTCCCCTCCTTCTCACAGGTAAGGGCTGCACAATATGTAAACGAAATCATTATGAGGGGCGATGATGAGGTCCATACCAGGTCTACACGTTCTGCTACTAAAGCAGTTGTGCAAATAATTACGTTATAAACGTTTGCCCTACGATGATGAAAAACATCTGTTCGTACATGTGAAACGGTTAATCTGTGGGTGAAGCCTATTTGTGTGTGTGTGCCCTGCGCGCGAAGTAGCTAGTAGACCGTTGCGCCGCTTTTCCCCCCGCAGGCGACCACATTCCTGAGAGACATGTTTGACCAGAATGAAAAGATGAACCACCACTGCAAGTACACCAGCGATTACACCAAAGTTAAAATTAAAATGTACACGCACACGCTGAAAGGGGTAACAGAAAAGGACGTGGCATTTGCAAACCTAGTAGATAGCGCACTGAATAATTATGCTTATAAAGTGATAAAGGAAAGTCACTCAGCGGAGGAGAGGAACAATTAAGTGGTGCGTCCACAACATGGTTCTTTTTTTTTTTTTTTTTAAGTCGTGATATATTCTCCGTGGAAAATACGTAACTGTTATTTTGTACGTTTCTCCTACCATGTGAGAGTTCCTTTTCCTCTTTCTGTGTATTTCCTTTAAGGGGTAATTTTGTTTTTTTTTTCTTACCACCTGCATGTTGTACTAACGACATATAGCTCGTGTGAAGGGGCTCTTCACCGGGAGGTTAATTCGTCCTGACAGCGATGTAAACTTTGAACAGGAACTCTGTTGTCACGCGACAGGAACATGATGATTGATAGCCCGGGTGGAGCCAATCTACCACAGCTTCTGTTCCAACAAAAGGGCAAATTACCTGCTCCTCGCAAGGATTCACCAAAGGTTTTTTTACCAGAGTGGCACGACGCGTGTAAACCACATTGTGCATCCGGGGTGGCGTAGCAGAGTTGGTGTGGCATAGTTGGGGTGGTAGAGTTGGCGCAGCAGAATTCACTCCACAGGTATCCTCTTCGGCGTACACTCATGCATTCCCCGGCTTGGCCTCGCGCGGGTGCCCACACAATATCTACATGGCCACCGCACATGGTAGTGCTGCTAAGCATAAACGACACAAGGGTCGTATTATCTCTCCAGCGTGGGGGTGGCGCACCCGTGGCCGCAATTATGAGAAGCCACATGAAAAGAGCAATATGAATAACGTACAAGAGTATAAATATATAATATATGTGCTTATGCGCGACTGTTTGCACGGAGCATATCCTCATGTGCCCTACTACTATGTAGGGGTCGGGGGAAATCCGCACCCTCTTTTTAGTGGTACGTTAAAAAAAAAAAAAAAAAAAGGCCCATGCTGAGATGGCCCGCTTAGGAGGGGTTTAAATATTATATTATGCTTCACTGCATTTTATTTATTGTACCTTTTTTGTTTTTTTTTTCCTTTTTCCTCCCTCGAGATCTTCGTTTTTAATTACGTTTTAGAATTTCCCTTTTTTTACAAAATATCCATCTCGCATGAATGAAGAATTTTTTTTTTTTTCTTTTTTTTTTTTTAAAACATATAATTAACTTTTCCATCCTTGTGAGCCTTTTTGCAAGTTGCTGCTTTTATGCAGAGCGTAAGTCCGTTCGTTAATCTACGACCATTTGTGGGCTAGAGCCCCAGTGAAAGGGGGGTGGGTGCGCCGCGTCAAAAGGCTATTAACCACGGAGCCAAAACGGCTAGCAGGACGAACCGCCGCAAGGTCTGCAAAAATCCTCGTGCATCGCGTACACCGCGTACAGCGTGAAGGCTGCGAGAGAGGTGAGCTTGTTGTGGGGCACGATTATTATCGACCCGTTCGTGGGAGGCCCGCTTAGATAGAAGAGACGGTGGGAGCGGAAACGAGTTTGCACCTAACATGCGCACGCACATTTTTTGGGGGGGGTTGTTAGTTAAGAGTATATATATTTGCACAACCGTGGGTGCTGCTCATCAACCTAGTGTGAATAGTGTGAAACCTGTTACACGTAGTTCACGTACACGCGTGAGTCGTCCTGCACGGTCGCGTACACCATATCCTCACAGAGACCCGGTTTCCCCACATAAAGCTTCTACCCCTTCCCCCGTGGTAGCAAAGGGGAAGTCACAGACACGCGTGAGTCGTCCTGCACGGTCGCGTACACCATATCCTCACAGAGACCCGGTTTCCCTACATAAAGCTTCTACTGCTTCCACACATAAAGCTCCTACCGCTGCCCCAGATAAAGCTTCTACCGCTTCCCCAGATAAAGCTTCTAC